CTGGGCACGAGCTGCTGCCAGGGTAAGCCAGCAGCCTCCCCACAAGGCTTCCCAGTATGCACAATGTCTCAGGCCTTCAATGCACCCATCAACACCACTACCTGGGGGTCTGCCTCACACCTGGGATCAACCTGTACCTACTCCCTCCCAGTCTCACTTGCAGGGGTTCCTACCCCATCCCAGACAAATCTGTAGTCCAGAGAGCTTCACTTTATAAGTTTAGCCAGCTTCTGATTGTGTCTAGTGTAGATGTTCACTCACCAATCTTATCACTTAAATTCTAAAAATCTTACTGGTCTGAAATTTATGATTTCATTTTTTAAAAGTGCTATGGCATTGAACCTAAGATAACATTCACATGAGTATTATACAGCTTGAAAAGTTACATTGCTTCAGACATTTCATCAGACACTGAAGTAAGACCCACTGCCTTCTAAACATCAGGAAAATTTTCACACTCCATCAAGGGCACAGGAAAAACAAAGTGTTGTAGAGCAGCAGCAATTAATAAATTTAAAGAATAATTGCATGTTTTTGTTAACAATTTTGCCATTTCATTCTTTGGCTCCCTCAGAACATTTGCTTGCTCCAGTGAGTTGTTGCCTTGAAAGTACTCAACACTTCCTGCTCTAATCCTGCTTCAATAGTTTTATGCAAAGAGAGTTAATTAGGAAAGTGAGCAAAAGAGAATTATATCACTGTAACAACAGTACTTGGCATTTAGTAGCCTCTTTAGTTTGAAACTCTCAGAAAGATTAATTATTATTAAAATAATTCTCACAAACTACTGCAAAATAAAAAGGCTTCTAGAAGTCTATGCTTTGCTACAGAGCAAAACTAGGAGTATGGCTGCATGTTCTCAGGTCTGTAATTATGTCTACTAGACTGTCTATCCTTGCCTTTCCTTTTTTGGAGTCACAGAGAGACAGGAACAAGTGGAATTTACATGTAACCAACCAAGAATATTTTTCCCAGATGTCACATCAGGCTGACAGCCATAAGCAAGCATGTAGGCTGCTACCCCCTTTCAGAAATAAAAGGTACATAAATGTGCTCAGATGTCTCTTGCACATGGAATACATTAGGTTATGTCACATTGCAATCTTGTATGAGCAGCACTGTCTAAGCATCTGCAAAATGGTGATACCCACCTTAGGAAATACCACTTTCAGGAGACCACTCGGACAATTAAAATACAGTGGTGGCAAAAAGCTAAGTAGGCAAGACCAGAGCCTTGGAATCATGCTCTGCTTTTAAATTTCATGGCCAGGTAAACATTTTCAGCCCAGCTGAGTCCTTTGTGAATCCCCTGTGTACACCCCTTCTATTAGTCAATACTGCTTGTGCAGAAGGGAAAAAAAACCTCAACCCAAAACAAACAACAAGCCATATTAAAACCTGAAAAGCTGATCTCTGCTCTGGCAAATCTTTTTTCCTCTTCCTTCAAAGCCCTCACCTTTCACTCTTTATATATGGTGAAAAGGCAACAGTCATTTGAAATATGAAAGCTCTCCAGGTAGAGAAGTGACAACACAAGGCTAAATGCAATAGGACTAAAACCTTTTCTTCTTTTGAGATTGCTGTGTAGGAAAAGAACCAAGGATTTGTTGAAAAAGCAAACTGGTAAAGAAAAACACAAAAAGAGTGAATGCTGATCTCCCCCATAAAAGACCAAAAGGAAAATTAAGACATTAGAAGAGAACTCACACTTAAAATAGAAAACATTGCTATATCCATTTTTACATCATGTATTGCTAGCCTTTAGGTGATGATCAGAAAAGTCAGAATCTCCCCTTTGTTCACAGTTTCATATTATTGCTCTCCTTCTGTATCACTCTGGCAGTTTAGTAGCCTGAGGTCAGGCTCCAATTTGCCAAACTCCACATTATAAACCCGATGATGTATTTACTTCTTTCTTCTCAGCACAATATTATAACCCACACATCACAGAGAATATATAATGCATTACAGTCTACCTTATGAGCTGCATACTTAGTCAAGAAATAAGATACGGAATATTCATAAAGAACTTATGCCCATAAAACTGAATAAACAACATATGATTTTATCATATTCAGCTGTACTTCTAAGAGTTGCTAGTATCCCTCTGTTTTTGCTGTGCAGCAGTATGTAGCCAGAGTTTTCAGAGTTTCCTAAGGGATGAAACACAAGAACCTGCCTTGTCAGTATGGCCCACAAAAAAGTCTATCAGAATTTAACTTTTTATGCTACCTTTTGTATGAAGACTCTTACTGACAGTGTAAGTGACAGGTTTCATGCTCTGCAACAGTTCCACAGTAGGAAAAACTGTTTCTTCTCCCTTCTGAAGTGTTCCTTTCCAAGGGTATCACAACTTCCTTGCCATCCTGTCCAACTCAGGGGTTAAACAAAACAGGTTCTTTCTGGGCCTTCTACTGTCTAATCAAATTAAACACACTTTAATGAAAATGAATAAGAAAAATCTGAAAGCAGTTTTTTAGTTATTGTTGGTTTCATTAGTCTATTAATTTATCTATTAGTCATGGAGCCTGCAAATTGGCAATGTCAAAGCTTTTGCTGACTGCTAATTCTCTTATGTGATGTATATTGTACAAATAAAAAAGATACATTAAAATGCCAGCAATATATACAGCATGACATTTTCCACTCTCCCTAAAATGATTTATCATAGTCATGTTCACACTCATTCAGCCTCCTGTACCATAATTTATAGGGAAACTGTTCCATAATTGCTGGTATGACTTTGACAAGAATAATATGATGAGAAGGTTTCAATCATTAACCATCTAGAAATATCCAGTGTTATCCTCACATATGACAATAAAAGCTACATTGGCACTTCATCCAGTCACATCACTTTTCATATTCATTCATATTACAAATTTAGGAAGGGTGCTTTCCACTAGCTGCTCTGAAGAGTCCAAGGAGGCAGCAAGACAGAATTTTAAAGCCTTTTCAAAGTAAAATCCAACAGCCCCTGAACCAAAATCCCCTACCCACAGCTATCTTTGTGTTTGAACAAAAGCCAATGAAAACAAAAACATATAAAAATAATACTACAAGCAAGGAAAAAATTAAAAATACAGTTGCTACAGTGGATTGTAGGATGAAATGGATGTTTTACTGCATCTACATGCAGAGAGGAAGTGTGCATGCTCCTTTGCCTGGATACAGCACCACTGCAGTTCATGCTGCATTGCATGCTGCAGCTCCGTTTCTCTCTGCAGAAGAAATTGCTCACCCATTCATTCTCCTGCTTTAACACTGAAAGAACTGAGGCAAAAGAACAAACACCTTGGAGTAGCCCTTACAGCCCACATTTACATGCCTAAGTACTCATTAAGCATCATCATCACCCTCTATGGGAGCCTCTGGATGCATCACACCATCAACCTTTATAGCGTTATTTTAAAATCATGCTTCACGTTTCCATGATCAAATATGGACTTAAAGTTAAGCATCCATTCCATTCTGATGATAGGTATACCTTGCTCTGTACCGTTGCTAGGGTAACAGATGTGGTAGCCATTAGATTAATGGTAAAATGTATTCCCAGGAGGTTTTTGGTTTGTTTTTGTTTTGTTTTGTTTTTATTCCTAGTTGCATGGTTGTGTCAAATTAATTACAAAGAAAATTCAGAGAATATGCTCTTAGCTGAGACCAGCAGCTCCTGCAAGTTTTGCGTTTACCTTCTTCAGGCTTAAATGTAGGAGATAAAATACACAGATGCTTTAAACAAATGATATCAAAATTCTTGCTCCAGATGGAGCTAATGAAAACTTAAAAGGTTATATCCTAACCAAGATTTAATTAACTAACTACAGCTATCCAAAGTCCTGTACACAGTAAAAGGGAAAATATTTATCACCTGTGAGAAAATACTTTTTGGACCTACTTAAGCAATGGAAATTATTAAAAAATTCCATACACATTTCCTGCCTGTTATTGAGCATACATCAGAATTCTTCTCCTGATTTAAACATTTAAAAAGTATCTTGTGGTGAGACTATTTACATTCAAAATAGTAAATTTTACAGTTTTCATTAAAAACTCTTGGGTTTCAAAATTTTCTTAAGAGGCAGGGGAAGAAACTTCCTCAGCAGCAGCTGAGAAAATAGTATCAGAGCTGCCGTACAAGCTGGGAAAATATTCCTAAGCCAATTATTTTTATTTGATTTTTTTAATTATTTGCCTCTTTGCCATAGATCACAGTTTTTTTAAAATACGTTTCTGTTCTAAACCAATTTTTCTGTATCAACCTTTGTATTTGTAAAATATATGTGTAAGAACTTATCTGAAATCTAGTAGAGAGCTCTGATATTTTCTGAAGTGCCCCCACCAATATTATGGCCGCACTGTACACCCAGCCCTCAAAAAAGCCCCACAGGAAAGGTCAAGTTGTCTTGAGGGGAATCAATACAGGCTTCATCTCAAAGAGATCCTGGAGAATTACATCCACACAAACAAGAGTCTCTTACAAATGGAAGTCTAACATAACTGGACTAGTACTCTATGAGGTAGTACATCAGTGTTAATTTGTAGTGAAACAAATAATATTTAAAACATTAGGTGCTTACAGAAAGGATGAACAATATGGTGTTTAAATTGAATTACCACTTTCTAAAACAATAATCTATCTCTGTTGTTGGATTTACAAAAAGAGATATTCACAGATGACACAAAACTACTTTAAGCAACTGTGGGCTCACGCTGCCAAAGAAACCACTTCCCAAGAGACTCCAGAGCATGTTTCCTACTTGTCCATGAGATTATATACTTCCTGTTCCACTGCTGTACATCGTGACCATGTTGCTTCTAAATCTTTTTCAAGCCACTTTAGGAAGTGAAAAAAGTAAATTCAAAAAATCAACAATTTTTGTCTCTAGTGCTATCATCCAATGCTGTAAGCAAGCAAATCTAGAGCTAACAAGAACAGCCACATTACAGGAATAAATCTATCATCCCACCAGATGCTACCAACAACCAGAGTATTTCCTTACCTGCCTCCTGTCTCTCTGAGACGATGATGAGGAGGAGGCACTTCTATGTGATGGAGTAGATGTTTTGTGAGCTGGAGATACACTCTTCTCCTCTGAACTCATCTTTGCAGCAAACTTGTATTAATGATCTTGTGCTCTTATCACTCATGGACAAAAATGCAGGGGATAGTCTTCTGCATCCTTCTGTTTCACAGTTTATGGACAGCCAAAGAGGAAGTCAGTCTCAGCTAAACTCCACCTTAATAAAGAAAAATGTGGGAGAAAGAGTGAATGAACATACCCTCACTCCAAAGTAGCTCTGCAGCAAAGAAATCTGTTGACTATTTAATCCAACACATCTCCCAGTCTTTTACTCCCAACAGCTACCCAGGACAAATACAAATGCATTGTTCTGCATTCTCACAGAAGATTGAAGTGGTATTATTTTTAAAAACCCTAAGGAAAGGCTTAAGTAATTTACAGCAATTCTCAGGCAAAGTTTAAAAACCTTTGATAACATGATGACATTATCAAGTAACTCCTCAGGCTTTCCCTTCCCTATAGCACAGATATCACTGAACACCCCATTATAAACAGTACCTTGTAAAAATCCTGCAGTTAGGTCAAGAACTCTGCAAGGATTTTAAAAAGCAGGTGCCTCTCTCAAAGGTGGTGCCCTCAGCTGCAGTATCAAAGGCTTCAGTGAGGCAGGGGGAGTGCCTGGCTGGGGGCTGCTGGCCAGGGCTCACCCACCCCCGTGAAGGTGCCTTCCCTTTTGTTTCCTCAGCCACTGCTAGGTACGCTGCTGCTTTACAAACAGCAGGGAATTTCTCTCACTACTCTCCACCCAAACCTTTAATTTCCACCCAAAAATAGAAAACAGATACTTAGAGCAGCACAGAGGATATTTGTGTCAATAAACAGTCAAACACTACCTGTCAAACCCTATCAAATGCTGCAAGTACACCATGACGGTTCAGGAATGGAGCCACACTTCTCCATGTTTAACAGATCACTCTGATCCTGCTTCAGCTGACTGATACAGAGTCTGATCTTCCATTAACCTTGGATAGAATTGTTCCCTGAATGAGATGTTAGCTTCAGGCAGATGACATATCTTCTCCACTGCCCTCCTAATTTTGAAATAGTGCCCTTCCACATTCACTGTGCTGACAGCACACCAAGGGTCAGCACAGCACAGCTAGCTGCAGATGGTGTGGAGAAAGGTGCTGTCCTGGATCATGTTAAATCAAATCAGGACAAACATACATTAACTCTCAGACATGAATGCACACTCAAGAAATTATTCGATACTGAAGACAAAATTCTAGCTTCTCCCGAGTTTCTCCAGAGATAACCATGGAAGAATATCATCCTGAGCCCAGATACTCACACAGAAGCAGCTAAATAATTATTTACATAGTGCCACCAGCTTCTGAATACTGCACCCTAAGAAAAATGCACCTGCTGGAGCCAAGATCTGTGATTATTCAAAACCTTTTCTGCTTGCTGTACTAAGGGAGAGTGGAATGACTTCAGTTTATTAGTTACAAGTACTTTTGCAGTATGAGTATCATCCATATTTATGAATGAGCTTCAATCTCCATTAAGGAGACTCCCATAGAATTACAAACCCACATATTACCCACAGAGGCCACACTGCATCCCAGTGAGTGGGAGGACATGGCTGTTCCAACAGCAAAAGCTGCCCACATTCTCTTAACAAGATTCTCTGAATCTTGGCAAATTCTGTATTCTTTTCAGGATGACAAGTTCCTGCCAGAAGAAGCCTAACAAGATTGGTTATGCTGGAGCTGCCAAAGCCAGCTACAAGACTAGAGGTTGCAGGAAGAAAGAAACAAGCTGCACAGCACATTTGTTTCAGAACTTCAGAGAGAAAACCTAATGAAGACGAACCCAAAGAAAGGCTTTTCCTTTTATCCTAACATACCAGGGGACTGCTGGTCTAGTTTAACAGCATTTTCATATCCTACAAATGCATCAGGGAAATTTTAGTCAAGGAGGTGTAACAACAGGGATATCTCAAGGTCTATTTCATTTAAATCAAAAATGAAATTACAAAAATCAGAACAAAAATACAATCCTAGTTCACAGAGCTGTGCAGAACACTTGAGTTATTTAACAGGAAATCTGCAGTCACTTTCAGCTGTGAGGTCACGGAATTTTTTTTAGCAGAGTAGCCTTCGGGCAAACAAAAATCAAGCCCTTTTTAAAACATCTGATCTTCACTCAAGTTGACTCAAGTGGAAAAGTTTATATTTATTAATAGCAGAGAGGACAATGGTCTGGCACTTCAAGTGTGTTCTGAAGGCACTTGGTAGCAGTAGATGCTGTTGTAAAAGCAACCACAATGCTAACAAGGAGTACACAAGAAAAGCTTTTCTGTAAATAGCTGCCAAGTTTGGGATTCTGTCAAGTATGGACTTTTTCTTTTGAAAGGTATTAAATAAAAGTAGTGGCTTACACCTGAGCCAAGCCCCACAATGGTTCTGTTGTGCTCTCCAAGCACTAAGAGCTGAACCTAACCAGCAACTTGTTCAAACCACCCTGACTTGTGACCACAACAAAACAAAAAATGCCAAAAATACTAAACCACCCCCTTCACAAAGAAAAGAAAATAAGCAAACATTTCTTCTTGCCCTGTTTCACAGCAAAAATAGCTTCAATACTAAACCACTATTACTTATACATAGAAATTCCTGATTAATTAACAGTGCAGATCAGGGTTAAAAGTCAAAAAAAAAAGACAACTGGAATATTTGGGAAAACATGACTTGTAAGAGCAGCAAAAAAAATTATGCAAATTAATAAGAGTTAGAAGAGAGCTCTTTCTTATTGTTCTTGAACACTGAATTTTGATTCTTTCTATATTGCTGAGGGTCTATCTTCCAATTTTTGCTTAAATTTGAGCAATAGATCTTTTTTAGAGCATGTTAGAAGGAATAAATCTAGCAGAATTGACACAAAGAGACGCCAGTCTCTCTGTAACTATGATTGAAGCAAACAATTAGAAATCTAATTTTTGGCCAACAAATTGAACTTACCAAAATGAAAATGATGCTTTTGAAACATTTTTAACAGGCTTTTTCCATCAGTCACTGGCAATTTTGCTACTGATTCCAATGGGAACAGAATCAAGTTATATACCATGGCAGTATGTTTCTAGAGAGTAACAGAAAATCTAAAAACACATCCAAAAACTATGATGATGGGTTTTGGATGAGTGGGGATGACCTCCTGGTAATCATGCATTTGTTCTGATACTGTTTCCTGACAAGTATAAGGCAAATTTTATTATCTCTTTACTTCACAGCAAATATATCCTCTACATGGAAGTACTTTAATCAATTTCATCGGAAATCAATCTGAAAAAAAATTATGACATAGGCAAGGGTAACAGCATTGGCTGTTGGTTATTAATTGCTGTATATCCAAGTAATATCAACTTGTAGGCTGCATTTTGCAAACACCAATTAAATCACCCACGAGCTGCTCAGAACCCCTGTCAGTTCAGGACCACGAGTGGATTCAGCCCAGAAAATGTGACAGGGCATTGACCTGCTTGAAATTTGCTTTGCCAAGAGTTCCAAGGCAGGGGATTCATTCATTACTTCTAGCACACGAGACATACAGCCTAGAATGCAAAAAGCAGACACTGCAGAGATATTTTGGCCATTCAGAAGTTTCAATGGCCTGGTTGGGAGTTTTGTCCTCAACTCTTTTTGTTGGCATCTCAACTATTTTGAATTTAAAGTATAATTATCTACTGGTTCTGCAGTACATTGTTTTTTAAGTTTTTTACTTGTTTTTTTATGTGAGGTGATGTATAGAGAAAAGTAATATGCCCAAAGTCATGCAGAGGGCAAGTCTCATGAGCAAAACATGCAGCGAGACCTTTTAACTCTGATGCATAAGGAAAAATGCACTGTGCCATGATTTTAACATACTCCAGATGAGACAAACACCTCTACCTAATTCTATTCATAAAGGAATGCAAAATTACCATATAGAAATGACAAAAAGTAATTATTTACTATACTAGAGGTTCTTTATTGTACAGTTAAGTAATCATTTATAGTTTCTTAAATATCTAGAATTTAATATCTCTTCTATAACTAACAGCTATTCCACCACTTTCTTGCACTTTATCCCTACTATATTTATTTCTTAAGCTAAAATTGAAGTCAAGATATGGTTTTCTCAAAGTTTTTGGCTGGATCTCAATTGTTAAAACTTATCTGGGCCTGGGGGGCTAAAAGCTACAGATTCCCCATTCTTCATCCTTTCTCTACTTCAACTAAGATCTGAATATTTTTTTCCTATACAGTTATTTTTATCTAATTTATTCTCAGTTCATTAATGGTGTAGTTTGAGACTTACCCTCCACACCCTCTGGTGTCCTAAATCAAACACTAAACAGATCAAAAAAAACCTTCATTATTCATTTCTTTTCTGTCTTCAAAGGGTTACTGTCTTTTTCTGTCTAAATAAACAAAGGAAAATGACATTTCAGTTTTCATATCAGAAACCACTAATTTTTACACTAGAGAAATTTTGCTTTCCCTGAAGTCCTGCTGTCTATCATATGAAACAAAATTATTTCAAATACACTAAAATAAATGACCAATCCACTACTGAGCTGTAGAGTGTGATTATTTTTATATTAATACTACTAAATAGCTTGAAAGAAAAGGAAGAGCTGAGACCTACTTAGTGATTTCTCATCGCCTTTTGTCTTGGGTTACAATGCTTGATGTTCATCTTTTAAAAGTATTTCTTGGAATTTTGTATATTGAACTGCTCAGTAGTGTCAAAATACTGAAGGAGACACTGAATATCTGTTTAAAAATTCATTACTCCTCATTTTCTTCAATGAATAAAGTACATTGTATTTGAGGCTACACAGATTGTCGTTATTTGAAATTTCATTTTAAAATTGATTAATTTTTTTGCTACTTGCTAAAATTTAAAAAACAAAACAGAGAGGGGGAGTAATGAAATGGAGAGAGGTTATTTTTACTGGGGAGAAAAAAAAAAATTTTGAGTGACACAAGACACTGCGTGAGGAAGTAAACTGGGCAAAGACTCGGAAACACAAGCTGTATAAACTGCAAAAAATAATTGGGTGACACCAAGCAGAAAAGCAGCATGTGGAATTGAATATAAGCAAATTAAAGGTAGGAATATTTGGCTATCATGCTTTAATAAGCCATTGCTGTATGGCAAGTCCACTGACAC